AACGCCTAACTAACCAAGAACGAATATTTACCACTAATACAATGGTTGCAAACAGAGCCATCTCAACAATACTAATGTTCCCATATCTAGCTCATGGCCATGTCTTCCCCTTCCTCGAGCTAGCCAAGAAACTCTCCAACAAAAACTTCCACTTCTACTTTTGTTCCACCGCCGTCAATCTCGACTCCGTCCGGAAACACTTGGAGAACTTCCCATCGATCCTCTCGATCGATCTGGTCGAGCTTCGTCTTCCGGCCCCACCCGAGCTACCTCCCATCTACCAAACAACGAAAAACATACCGCCCCACCTCATGCAAACCCTAAAGGCGGCCTTCCATGCGTCAAGCTCAATTTTTTCCGACATAATCACAAACCTAAACCCCGACTTGCTCATCTTCGACTTGTTTCAGCCGTGGTCTGCAAAGCTCGCCGCGTCGAAAAACATTCCCTCCGTCTATTTCCTCACGTCCAGCTCGGCCGGACTCTCGTTCAACCACCACCACCACTCGCACGGGAAGTTCAACAATTTCCCATTCTACCCCTCCATATGCCTCAAGGACTACGAGTTGAAGGCCGCGATCGAGTACGCCAAAGAATTCCCCCAAGACGCGGCCTTGGCAGTCGAGGACGAGTTCATGTTTGGCGTCTTCCGATTATCCCACGACTTCGTAATAGCCAAGACGTGCCGAGCGATCGAGAGCAAGTACATCGACTATCTCTCGTCCCTTTTCCAAAAGAAAATCGTGCGCACGGGCCCGCTCGTCACGGACCCCGATTACGTCTCGGAACCCAAACCCATCATCGAGTGGCTCGACAAGAAAGCACCGCACTCGACTCTCTACGTCTCGTTTGGGAGCGAAAGCTACCTCTCGGGGGACCAAATTCGCCAGCTGGCGAGAGGGCTCGAGTTGGCGAGGGTCGACTTCGTATGGGTCGTTCGATCGCCCGTCGGGATGGAGGACCGCCCGGGCGACGACGAGCTCCCCAAAACCGGTCGAGGAATGATCCTTTGAGAGTGGGCCCCACAAACGGAGATACTCGCGCACCCGAGCGTTGGGGGGTTCCGGTTTTGGGGGTCCCGTTGAAGTACGACCAGCCGCTCAACTGCCGGATGGCGGTGGAGGCGGGGGTCGGTGTGGAGGTCGGGAGGGGCGAGAACGGGGAGTTTGACGGGGAAAAAGTGGCGAGAGCTATAGAAGAGGTTGTTTTTGGTGGGGAGGGGTTTAGGGTTAGGGTCAAAGAGCTGAGCAAGAAGATAAGGATGGAGGAGGACGAGGGCGATGAGGTGGCGGACGAGCTCAGGAAGTTGATCGAGAAATCGAGAGCGGACGTTTAATGGATCGGGTGCATGGGAAGGTTTGATGGATGCATGTGGAGAGTAAATTGCTCTTTTTCTATGGGTATTGTGTTGATTATTGAGAGCTTTGGTTGTGTGAGGGTTGGGTGCATATACTTTTCTTGTTTTTTGATGTATTATGAGTAAGTTGAATAAGTTGGGGGTGAATGAACATGTGGATGGGCAGGGACGGAGCGCGGAGGGACACATAGTGTTGTCCGGGCTACAGCCCGGTGGGCTAGAAGTATTCTTATTGCCCAGGTTCAAATAATTTTGATGTTAATACTTTTTGTCTTTCTTATAATCCGGGACATTATTTGTGTAAAACCTTTCTTTCTTATTATTTTGCGTAGGTTCAAATAATTAAAAATTTAAAGTATATCTATAAATCTAACCCAACATGTAATAATCACTTCAAATTAATATTGATGTTAACTTTTGCTTTTGTTTCTTTTTTTTTTCTTCTTAATTTTAGTGTCTGAATGACAATTTGGACTTTTGGTTTTTAACTTCATAATAAAAATAAATGTGGTTTTAATAGTTTTTTTTTATCTAAACTTTGATAATTGTAATTTTCCTGAATTATTTTGATGTATGGATATATTTTGAATGAAAAGCTTTTTAAATATATACTGAGATAGATAGTTGTTTGGTTGCCTAACATTAGGCCGTCATACACTCTAAAAAAATCGAATTTATACTATACTACAATATTATATTTTTGCTTATATTATAATTTAAAGTATGTTAGGTAATTGTGAATATGTGTACATGTGTTCAAATAATATGATTGTCTTACCATTAGGTAGCCTAATAGAAAACCTACGCAAAAAGACATCTTATATATCGTAACTTATATACAATTTGGCACACTTCTAGCCCGGGTAAGTTTAAAATTCTGGCTCCGCCCCTGTGGATGGGTATGCTTTGTTTTGGATTGTGTCTAGTTTTATTGAACTTTCTTTTATTTTTCCCAACCAAATGTTCGAGGATGATTATACTCATGTTCAAGAATGATCGAGGAAGATAATAGCTCAAGCTCGAGTGTGTCCTCATTTATAAACTCAACTCATTTATGATTTTGAAAGCTCCGCTCGGCACGAGTCATTTATAGTAAATATTTCTTCTCAAAGAAGTCCGGCGAGACTATTTCATTAAAAAATATTATTAAAAAAAAAAAAAAGTCATTCGCTAATGGGACATGATCAACTTATTTAATAAAGGGACTCTATTAGTTGTTCGAGCTCAGCTGAGCTCAAACTTTTATTTAGTTGAGCTCGAGCTTTCACATATCAAAATAAATTAATTTGAATAGTAGTTGTAATAGTTGTTATTAGATGGTAAAGTGAATATCACAAAAATGGATTATGGAAAATGAAGTAAAACATAAACGAAAATCAAAGTCGATCAATAACTCTTATTATATGAGTATATAGTAGCAAATGTATCCCAAGAATCAATAACTCTTATTAAGTATATAGTTATATTGAATCAATAACTCTTATTAAGTATATAGTTATATTGAAAATATGTATGAGACAACAACATACCCAGTATATTCCCAACAGTTTGGGGTCTGGGGGTTAGTTGTACGCAGACCTTACCCTTGTAATTGTACAAGGAGGTTGTTTCCGTAGCGATCCAAGGTGCATTGCGCCGTTTGATATATTTTTTTCAAGAAACTTCACTACTACTAATAGAAGAAGCATTAGAATTTAATTGAGCCATTAAAAATATGTATGAGTAAACAATATAAATGTTTTGGAACTCATATTAAGATTCAAAGAAAATTAAAAGATTACAAAACAGATATATGTGCTTTGAAATATACAATTCAAGAGTTCTTAAATTGCAAGTGTGTTGAATGATTCACGCATGGTGTATTTATAGATGTAGAAAAAATACGTCAACGGGGTTAAAGGTAAAAAGGCATCATTTGGAATTGTTGAAAAACACAAAGGAAAATATATACTTTGTTAGTCATGCAGAAGATAGGGTTCATAAGAATAGTTTTAGTGTTCTTGTGTTCATGATCAACCGCAGCGGGCATACAAGGATTATATAGGGGCATAAACAAGCCCTAACAGCTTCTAGATCCATCTAGTGAAGAATCAATCCTATCCACTCATTTACAATGAAAAGATCCTAGCCCTACATCGGAATTGACCACAAAATCAACAATTAGAGGACAATTGGCTTAAATAGCACATGACTTCTCTTTTTTCACTCAACAGCATAACTGAAGTTAGTTGTAGGATATATTCACACCTGAAAAAACTTGGGAACTTTTATCTAAGCTTTTCAAAGGCAACCTTAGAGAAGCATCTACCTGGTTAAATCAATGCCAAACTAGATATCTTAAGGAACATTTATTAGATCTTATTTTCAAAGAACACTTTTATAATTTTATTCTTTTTCCAAAATTCAATTCACCCCTAATCAAAACCTAATTCAACACCTCCCCATGGATTTCGATCAAAAACATGATTACTATTAATGAAGAAAAAAGAAGATAAAAACCCTAATCAAGTCCTAAATAACCGCACCTTAAGGTCGAGCTGCTCAAGATAGGTGAGGTAGAGGACGCAGTGGACTCAGAAAGCCGGCGGCGAAGGTCGAGTTGCCAGAGAAGAAGAGCAGTGAGTGCGTCAATTACCACTGAATACTGATTCGCAGGAGAGGAGCGAACCGGATAGGTCGAATTTTTTTAAGTCGGCCCTCTTCTCTCTCTATTTTGGAGGAAGGAAATTGATAGAAAATTGAGTTGGGCGGAAGGAAATTGGCTGAAGTGAAAATTTGAATTGGGGGTAAATTGGTATTTTGACAAGTTAAAATAGTTAGATTTTATCTCTTTTTTTATATAA